TAATTCTTAAAAAATCATGAGACACAAAGCCGTTGGTGACCTAGAGGAAATTACTCCGTTAATAACCGTTATTGTAAGAAAACAAAACTCGGGACCCTCGAATATCATCTACATGTTGTTGGCCGACTGACCGAGAAAAAAAACATCCAAAAGGTCAAGTCCTGAAGAGAGAACCAGAACGAAATTAGTGACCACTAACGCGACTTATACAAAATGAAAATCATATCGAAGGTGCACGTTTAACGACAGTTTATCATTTATTCTACATAATCACATAAATCAATTATTTCAACTATACATGTATAAGTGATATTAAAAACTATATATGTTGGTTGAAAAAGAATTAAGAATAGAATATATTTATGTATATCATGGTTTAATAAGAGCATAAAGACATTTAAAACTTTTAAGATACTATATATCCCCAATTATATTATTCAACCACACAACTTGGTAACTAAAAGAAATAAGTAAATTGTTAAATTATACATGCTTATTATGTTAACGGTGTGACCGCCTCTTTCTTTAGTATTAATGTTTTCTTATCGAAATAATTTGTATCCATACGAATAATAAGGTTAGTTATAATGTTCTATGGAATTAATTCTCTCTCTTCATCCAATATTAGATAATAAAATAAAGTAATTGTTCAAGTTTTCTTTTTTTGTTCAAAACAAAAAAGTCTAAAAGACTTTGCCAAAAGACAAACAACAAGCGAAGCAAACGAAAAACACAAAACAAAAGAAAAGAAAAAAAAAGTTAAATATTGTCAATATCAAATTGACTATAATCAGGATGATCAGATGATTGTTGTTGTTGTTGTACTGGAGCAACTGGTGGTGGTGGTGGAGGAGGAGGAGCAGCAACTGATGATGGTGCACGATTGACGGTGATGGTCAATGGACTAAAAAGAAGAAGTTTAAAAAAATGAGATAGATATTTACAATGTTGTTTTCTTTTTTCTTTACCTGGCACTTGTTACGGTGACAGTACCACTGCCACCACCGAGCAAACGGCGAACACGAAAGACCACATGATATTGTTGTTGTAGTTGTTGTTGTTGTTGTTGTTGTTGTTGTCGTTGTTGTCGTTGTTGTTGAAGATGAAGACGACGTTGTATTTGATTATAACGACCTAATTGAAAAATTATTAAGAAATATCCAATGAAATATGGAATACTTACGGGACATATGAATAGGACGCATTTGTAAAGAGGAACAAGACGAGAGATAAACGAAATAATAAATGATTAGATTTACTGGCGATCATCTCTATTTATAGTACGCTATAGAAAAAAATAGAAATTAAACCGTTAATTATAGAATTATAGATTAATTCAACATTTCCAGAGAAAAACCGTTGTTTGAAACCTAGAAAAGAAAATAGAATTCCGTTAGTGACAGAACGATAAAGAAAAATAGCGCGATGAGTGATAACCAATCCGAATAATTTAAAAATAGATGGCGCTCGTTTTCGGATTGTCTCAAAGTTCATTAAATATATGAAACAAAAAGAAAAATGTCCATTAGCTGTTAGAAGAAATGGTTTGAATTGAATCCGCTCGATATTAGGAAGAAATTCTCTAGAAAAACAAATGGACATAGCTTACCCTCTTGTTGTGGTCCTATTTTGTTCATTATTTCTGGAGAGATTTCAAGATTGATTACAAAAAAATAAACACAGGTGAAACAAAATATTGAGAGAGAAAGAAAAAGAAATGTGACAAATTACGGTCATTTTTCTTCTAGAATTTCATCAACCGACAGAGAAATTATACCATGAGAAAACCGTTAGTAATAGATAAAAACAATATTCGCATGTTTCAATGTGACTCAGAGAATGAAACATAAAAAATAGAGTGCCACAAAAATATAACTAATCAAAAATTAAACATGTTAGATGCCACTATATTTTGAATAACTTGAACAATAATAGTCAAACTTTGTCATTATTGTTATTCTATTTTAAGCAAATCAGCACAATATCTTGATCGAAGAAAAGAAAACAGTAGAAACTTGCATCCACATGAGTGCTCTCTGTCACAATAATTTTTCTCCATGCTCAGCTACCATGTAGTAGTATGGCGTATAACACTGATTTCATAGGAAAATAGAAGATCCCCCTCGTCTAAATGAATACTATACTTATGCAAATCACATTATCGAAAATAGCCTATCTTTTACATGTATAGTAAAGAATGCGTTCGTATTTATTATCCACAGGGAAATATTTGTTCTAATTTTAAAAGAAAATAATGACGTAGAACTAGAGAAGCACAACAACAAGTTGTTTCTTATATGTGAAAATTTTATGTGAAAGATTCAATACCAATCATCATTTCGATTCAGTACATGCCAAGTTATATTTTGTATTAGTCAAGTCAGTTTTTAGCCTGTTTTGTATTATAGGAAATACAAGACTGATATTCACTTCGATACTGAACAACCCGTAAGTCTTTGATTTTTATTATCAGTTTGAGAGTAATAATAAATCCTTGAAGATATTCTACATTTTATTATTTACATCAAAGAAAAACAAAGTGACACATTTTACAAAACGAAAAGAAGGAATACAAGGAAAACCACCAAAAAAATAAAGCCACCAAAAAGACGAAACCACCAAAACAATAAATCGACGAGCATGGCCAGCATGATTTCAATTCTTGTTGAACTATAATTGCAAAAAAAAACAGAATAATGAGAATTTGTTCATCTTTCATATACAATTGACTCACGTTTGTGTTTGAACAGCATCAGGAGGAGGAGGAGGAGGAGGAGGTGGATGGTTGTTGAGAATGATAATGATGAAGATATGTTGTTGTATAATAATTGGTTGTGGTTGTTGTTGTTGTAATCGTCGATGTTGTTGACGAGGATGATGATGATGACGATGAGCTTAATTAAAATTTATCGAAACTTATTCCACAATGTAATATAACTTACGACGAAAAGGAACACGAAACATTGAGGATGAAGATTAAGACCAGAACGACGTTTCTGAAATTCAAAAATATATGTAATGTATTCAAGCGAAAGCACCACTATTTATACTTACAGGAGATGGAAATTCGTTAAGTGATGTTTTAAAAAAAAACAGATAATCACTGGAAAACAGAACGAAAGAAAAAAGCGGGTAGTTCGAATATAACCAATGTGAAAAAAGTGTCAATAGAGGGCGTTTATGTACAGTCATCTTCGAACATATCTCTGTTAATCACATTCGTTGAACTATTTTCTTTATTTTCTTTTTTTTTCTTAAAAAAATAGCATTTGATCCTGTCTTTTTTTTCTGATTATTATTCTATTTTGGTTTTTCAGAATGTGAAATATCAGTTGGATCTATGATTGCTTCAATGAATGCACCGGTTAGACAAATATCAACTTTTCTTGATCAACTTCTTACTCCACTTTATAACTATGTAGGCAAAGATATTACATGCATCAATAGTATAGATGTGATTCGAAAATTAAAAGAATATGAACAGAAATGTTATCTGACATCAACAACATTGTTTCTTATATTCTTTGTGATTAATTTATATACAATGATCCCATCTGATGGTGCTATTGCAGTTTTAACTTGATTTTGTACAAAAAAATACTCAATTAGTGAAAAAATTGGAAATGTGAAAATCGATACTATAATTCATATTAACATGTGTTGTATTAGATACGAATTCATTTGCTTATAAAGATAAATACTATCGGTACTATGGATTCACCATTTAGTATGGTTTTAGCAAATATTTGTATGCTAGAATGGGAACAAAATTAATTCAACATCAACATCGACAACATGAAATTTACGGCCAGGTAGTTTCAAATTATTATTTATATATCCTCTCTAATAATACATGATTAATATTTTGTAGTATATTGATGATGTCTTTATGCCTACGAATTTAACAAAAGAAGAAATCTTACATGATCTCGAAGAAACAACGAAAAATGATGAAAACATTAAAGTTACTATAACAATAAAACAAGCATTAGAATATCTTGATGCCAGTACTAAAAATAATAACGGAAAGCGACTTGACTTTGGGACAGGAAACAATCGATCCTTATTAAAACTTAGTCGTAGTGAAATCAGTTGCGGACAGAAAGCAAAATTATAGTGCGAATACAAGCCAATAATTACAAGAAAATAGAAAGACATGACGTCGTGCAATAGTGGATTCAATCCAAACTGAAATTAATATAAAATCATTTCTAAGAATATTCTATGTAGTTCCTGAGAACATAGGAAGGTTTTCAATGCGCAACGTATATAATAATGTTCTTTTTTTGAACATGTACTATGCTGTGATAACTCATTACGCCATAAGAAAAACAATCAGATGAACTTCAATTGTCTTCTATTAAATGAAAACAAACGAAATCAGAGCTTGATAGTGTTTATTGGACACACGACCAAAACAGAAAAGAAACAAAAAAAGAAACAAGAAAAAACACAAAACAAAAGAAAAAGAAGAAACACCACCAGATCTTGTCAATTAGACATTGACAAGAGTCTGGTTAATCCAGTTGCTGTTGGCCCACTATGTGGGTATCAACAACAACTGGGACCAAACCAACACCACCACCACCACCACCACTACCACTACCACCACGAGCCTGAAGACCACCACCACCAGCAGGCTCGACCACAACCACCGGACCTGAGGCAGTAATTTGTGCCTCAAATGGACTAGAAAAAAAAAACGATTGCTTATTTCTTCCATTTTTTCTTGAAACTTACGCATCGGAGGTGATACAATATGTTAATGAACCACGAGCCGAAGGAACCATAAATATTTTTTGATGTATTTGTTGCTGTTGTTGTACCTGCTGTTGTTGTTGTTGTTGTTTTAGTTGTTGGAATTGTTGTAGTTGTTCTTGTTGTAGTTGTAGTAGTTGTTGTTGTAGTTGTTGTCGTTTTTGTAGTCGTTGTTGCAGTTGTTGTTGATGTTGTTGCTGTTGTCGTTGTTGTCGGCGAAGACGACCTATGCCGAAAATCGTAAGAAGATTCTAACCATAAGCAGAAAAAGACTTACGTGTTTTATTAAAAGTGTACATGACGACGACGAGCAGCACGAAAGACGACAGATGAATAAATGATGAGATGATCGAAAAACATCTCTATATATAGGGCTAGAAAAAGGGAGGGAGAGAAAAAAAAAAAAAAAGAGAAGGAAGAAAGGAAAAAAAAAATAGATTCATCGAATTTCGCCGGACGGAAACCGTTGGTGACCGAGTGAGAAAATAGCCAAAGAAAAACTGTTAAACAGAGTTCAAAACAACATTCACGACCTAGTCGGTGACCCCTAGGGCAAAACAATATCCAACAGGTGAATCGATAGTTATCGGACGAAAGTCAGGGTAAAATAGCCCTGTTGAGACAACCAATCCGGATAAAAGGACAATAGATGGCATTGTTGTACTGATGCTATGCAGAACCGACAAGAAATTTACGAACAATGACTTCTAAACGAACATCTTGTGCCGAACTGAATGAATGTCATTACTTGCTATAGTGATATTGCTAACAAAATAGGAATGACTATCATCCAATCTGCATATGTTTCCATCAATCCTAGTGCATCAACAATGACAACAACTTCAAAGTTTTGTCTCATGTACACTCAAATATCAATACAAAAACAAAAGAAAATTGACAACTATAGTTGGTTTTTTGACTAAGTCGCTGGTTGAAATGATTGTCGTGAAATATAATAGAACTGTCTGTTTGTTGACGAACAAATGTAAACAAAAGAGTAGATTTCATAAAATAA